GTGCCATTCGTGCGTCATTCGTTTGAAACTGACAAAAAATAATATGTGAAATGATGTAAATGCAAATTATTCACAGAGTTAGACGAAAAAGTGTTCTCGGGCTTTCGTGCACCTTCTTATTTTTATAATCTAAGGATTAACAAATTTAAAGTTAATTATTTTAGCTAAACCAAGTCTAAACCAAGTCTCTCAAAAATATAGGAAATTTAGAGCAAGTATGACTACAAGTATATTTGTAATTGCTGCGAACTGAGTGACAGGAAGGTTTGAAGGTGAATTGACTGACAGTACTGAAAATAAGACTAAGTACATAGTTGTTGACATTTCGACGGCTTCGACGGATCAACATAAGTCGATACTATCAGTCAACGTACCAGAAACGATTGCGTAATTTACAGGGAATAACTGAAAACAACGAAGAAATTCTAAGGGGCAAACGAAAAAATTGAATAAAAATAAATAAAGAAGCTTACTTACAATTAATTAAACTTTCCAGGAGGATTCTAGCCTACGTGTGCCGATGATAGCCCAAAAAAGCGCTCAAAACAAACTTTAATAAATAAAACACTGACAGTTAAAACATATTTGTTCTTAATTGTAATTTCAAATTTCCGAAGGATGCAAAATATTAAAGAATGATTTCAAAAGATATCGTTTACTCGGTTTTTGGATAGAAATTCATTCTCCTCTGGCTTTTACCTCGCAGTACATAAAAAATGGATTAAACCAATTCATTGAGAAAATTTGATTAATTATGAAAAATGGTGGTGTGTTTAATTTTAAAGAGAGTTTTCGCAGCTTATGTTCTTTTTAGCTAAATTTTATCTCGGTGATAAGAGCGAAAGTTTGACGTGAAAATTTAAGAACAGTCTGTATTGTTTCTCATATCGCCGCCAATAGTTGAAATTATACTGACCGGAAGGGCAATATTCGCAACATCCAATCAGAGCGCTGAAAATTTTCTCCATAAAGTTATTAGTTGTGTTAAGGCTATTTGCTATGTGAGTCAGGAAAGGAATTGCTTTAATCACACGAGGGGATAAATTACTTTCTTTTTTTATTCTGCTATTCGATCGGTCAAAACTAAGTCTCGGCGTTGTGAACGGAGTTCATCTTGCGAACAACATGTTATCATCAATCTCTATTATTGTGATCTTTCTTGGGGTGCTCATTTTTATCGTTGCGGCCTTGGTTCTTTGCTGTCTCTGTTGTCATCTACGCTCGAGGACGAAGAATCAACAAGGCTCCTCTGTGAATTATGTGGCTCACGGAAGGGGAAAAAGCGAGAAAGAAACTTCGGTTACCGAGTTGTGAAAGAGCGAATCCCGCGCGTTTACACGTTTATGACAAAAGAACATTTTCTAGTTAGTGTGGTGTTAATGGTGGAAGCTGTTTTTTCATATCATCGCTTGCCGTGCGTGCTTGCTTTCACCTGCGGTTCCATTGTGGATCAGTGGAGAACTTAGCGAAAATTAAGCAAAGATGCGCAATCATTATGCAGCTGTAGATCAGAGGAGCTTGAGCAACTGGGATGCCCAAACAATCCATAGTGAACATAAAAGAGCCAATGGTATCTCAGTGTAGTAGCCAAAGATGCTTCAGTTATAGTGTCCGTGATTGTGGCTGACTGAAACGGGTACTCATGCAATGAAGATTTACTTTATCAAAACAATTTACCAGGAAAAAAAAAACAGTAGAAGGATGAAAGGGATTGTTTTTAATCCTACAATGAAGCAATCGTCTTGTTTACATGACAAACGGAAACAACTCCCTTATTCGATGAGGACTTTGCATTTGTATGCTAGACATTTTCCCTAAAACTGCTAGCAGCAGGAACGCGACGAAACAATGTAAACGATAGAAACTTCTGTCTACCTACGAAATATCTTTTGGGACCAGCTAATAAAGTAGAACATGCAGCTTAGTTCTGTGACTTACGGTTCAGGCTTCTAATTAAAGAGCTAATTCTTAAATGTGGCAGGCTTCTCTCAACTCACTCACATTTGCATTGTTTAAAGTCGCTGAATCCCTTCCACAATTCAAGGTTTGGAACACCCAGGCAACAAATCCTCTTGGTGAAATATCTTCCGGTAAAGCGATTTTAGTCTCTAATTAAATAGACGATTAAAAAAAACCCTCAAGTTTTCATTAGTAAAATGACGCCTGAAAATGTAGGTTTTACTTAATGGCATAAGAACTTGTGTCTTTTTTCCTTTGTTTTCTGCGTAGTAACGGCTATTTTGTTTTAAGCCTGGCTGGGATATATAAATATAGCGACTAAAACTTCGAATTATAGTTTCGTTTGAAATACGTAACCTTAGCAAGAATTTAATCAACAGGAGAAAGACCCAACTGAAATATTTAAAATAAGGTTCCGCTCTTTTTTCCTTTTTCTCTCTGTTGCTGATCATTTACCAATTCAACAGCCGAAGGATTAGACCCAGTATCAGTACCCGGCGTTAATATCTAGTGCGAGAGTAATGAGTGGTAGCGACGCCGTTTCCCTGGCAAAACGGAATTCCTCTAGTCGAGTGCTGTTCAGATGGCCGCTATTAATAACATCCAATACTATTAATAGCATTTAAATCGTGCAAAGCCAACTTATGATTGACAAACACAAATTTTTCAGTCAGAATAATGATTTTGCTAATTTTTGCAAGGTTGCGAAATTGCCTGGTCGGCATTTCGATATACTTCTTTTATTAGAATTTTACAGAATACATGCACATGATGTTTCGCATGTTTTGAGAATCGCAGAAACTTTTTAATTGTTTAATTTTGTCGATGGAGTTCTTTTTTGTCCTTAGTTTTCTGCCATACTGCAGATTTAAAAAAAAAATCCTGTAAATTTTGGCCTTTTTTTTTTCATTATTGTAAATTTTCACATAGAAGACTATGATTTTCATAAATGTTTTTCGAGGGCCTGTACATAAAATAGTCTCTTTCTTTCTTAAAATAATTATTAAACTTATTCTATTTATTAATGATTTAAAACAGAATGAAATAGATGTTTTGTATTCCCTGAAAGAATTGTTATTACGCAATCTTTTGATATAAATTAAACGACGTCATTGGACAAAGTCCAACTGCTTTCATTCGAGCTTTTGGTAACTGCCTACTTGATTGGTTTCTTTTTATACATTTCTGACACATGATGATGAAAAATACATTTTACTCAGAAGCAATTTTGAAAAAGCCATGAATGAAAATGTACAAAAAGTTCATGCAGCTCAATAATCTTGTTTGGTCGTTAAAGTTCTCTATTTCCTTAATCCTTCAGTTTCAACCAGATTGTTGAAGGTGTGCTAACAATCAATAGAAATGTGCGGACGTCTCAGGAATTAGGCTTCTGTTTAATTACAACCTGTATAAATAAATTTGCTGAATCAAAACCCTAAGATTCTCTCTCTGCCTCATTATTTTCTCTTGCTCAGTCCCACAGATCGGATAGTATTGCAAGTGATAGGTTCAGTGCTCTCTCGTCTGGTTATAAAAAAGCTTCTGTTGCACAAAGATTAGTGGTTGATCCCCATAGAAAAACCATTGTCCTGTCGCAAGATATTGCTGGTTTTCAACGTCACGCCATTCAAAATAGAACAAAATAGAAATCAAAACCGTTCAATAGATAAAGTCCAGAAGTGGAAAATGAAATAAGGGGTTTGATGTTGCACCCAATATAGTCACTCACTGGGATCGATTGAGCAGGTACGATTACGATATGGGCATCCACTGCAACCCTAACCCTAAACCAAATCGCTAAAGTAATATGAGAAGGGGATGCCCATATCCTGTGATCCCATAACCTTACCCCTACGGGTATAGTGACATTGTGTCCCTGATCCGTTCGAGATATAGATCGTACTTACATAACTGTAACTTGATCACGCACTCGGACTTTTTCACCGGATGTTCGTTCGAGAAGCTTCCCCATCTCAATCCTCCAAGAACTTGTTTCCAGGCTGGGACAAACCGATTTGAAAGGAATAGGACTTCACCTACCATTGTTGCCGTAAAATACTGCAATAGCAATGATTAAACGAGGCTGAGCATTTTCTGAAGAATTATACAGATTGAGGAGCCGGGGTGTTAAAATCCTCCGAGATTTGCATAATTCTTCCGGATCATGATAGAAAAGACCAATATCCAAACCTAAGTTTATTATTTATTGAAAATCATTCTTACTTTAAAACCTCGATAGATCATTTATCTGTTCCTGGCAAACTAGCAGATATTCATTTCTTCAAATAGCAGTTGTTATACGTTGAACTTTATTTTTTGCTGTTCTTGCTATGCTTTTAGGCTGCAGACGTTCGGGGTTTTTTTCTCGGTGAAAAGTGTGAAATTTTCCTTCATTTTCACCGGCTCCATCAAAAACTAGTGAACTATATAAACTCAACCTCGTCTAGTAGGGCTTCTTGGCTGTGGTATTTTTTTCTGATGATAACCTGTATTATTGACGTAATTTTATCGGAAATCGCGAAGATCCTTAGTACTCTGGGCAGAAAGAAAGAGGCGGCTCCTGGCGAATCCGCTGATCCGGGTGCACGTGACATGTAACGGCATCGCGATCTATCAAGATAGAGGAGGGAGGGGTAACCTGGGAACAAGCTCCTCAGAAGGTAAAAAAAAATGGGACGAACAAGGCAAGAAAAATAAAATCGTCGAACGAGCCTAGTCGAGTGGGCATAGTCCCAAGCTTGGTTCGCCTCTATCTTAGCCCTCTCCCTGTTACTCGTCTTAACAGTTTTTCTTCTGCGTTTTCCCCTGCCCAAGCCCAGTACGGTCAGTACGGTCATGCTCAATGCTTTGATTGGACGCGAGGTGGAGGACTAGGAACGAGTCGAGCTGTAAAAGTTGTTTTCGTTTGGAGGCCATTGGGTCCAAGGCGGGAGAAACGGTGAGTTTAGCTTTCGCTTTGTAGATTTTGCGTAAAATTTACACCAGGAGCGGAAATGTTATTGCCATTTTAACGCGGTTATCACAAATTTGAATGTTAGAAGATGCCAAAAGACCGAGAAAGATCGCATGAAGACAAAGACCGAGAGAAAAGATCGCATTCTAGGTCTTCATCATCTCGTCACCGGCGCACTAAACATAGCAGTGGACGTCGGGAAAGCTCACGAGAGCATCGCAGGCATAGACCGTATCAACGCGAAAAAGATTCTCTGTCATCGACGCATATTTACTTTACAGGATCGGACATAACTCCCTCCGTTTCAGTTCACACGGATCACGTAACACTCGCGTCTAACTTGAGTTCGTTAGTAAACACACAGGATGGCATGCTAGAAATCTTTGAAAATTGCTGTCAGATGTTGGAGCGATTACGCCAAGATCATCAGGCTACCAATTCTGCACTTTGGCGAAGCAGTTCTTCGTCTTCAAGTGACGGTTTGAGGCACCGGGGAGCTAATAAGTCTAATTTAGTTCCAGTGCCTCTAACAGCTACAAAGAAATCTAAACCGAGGTGAGGTTGTGGACGCCATTGATCTATGTTGTGAAGGCAAACTCAACCACCCGGAAGGGAAGTTCGGATATTTTTTTTTACTTATACTTTAGCAGGGTCCCAAGTCTCTATTGTCTCCAATATTATTTTATTTTCTGGGCAAAGAAATATTCAAAGTCTTTTAGAGTTGGTTATGGAAGTTCAACAATACCAAGTTAAAGTAGCCTGCGTAGCAAGCGTTTCCAATCGAGTTATTGCGCGAAAGTTAGAGCGGAAGCAAAAAAAAGGTGGAAGGGGAAGGGGAGAAGAGGAAACGCTTGCCCGCAAACCCCACGATTCTGGAAAACGCCCCTTGATATTTCACGGTTCGGTGTATTTGTAAATTGACAGCTCGTCAAAATAGAAGTATAACGAACAGATTTAACCCTTGGATTACCAGATTTGTAAAATTACTTTTCCTCTAATAGAACACGTTGCTGGCGATTGCACGAACTGTAATAAAAAAAGATTTACGATAAAAAAAACTCTAAGCGATTGCTGCGAAATTTCTTGTTTTTCATTGTGTGACTTTTCGTCTGAAACCTTGTCGACACATCAAAAATGATTTGTCCGAAACAATTCACTTCGCTGGGTATAAGTCTTGCAGAGTGGTTGCTCTTCAGCCTGTGTCGAAACGTTCTCTACAATACGTGCCGCTAAATTTCCAATAAACAAAAATAATCTTTTGATTTCAAAAAGCTGACAAATCGCTTGTCCATGGCGGCTTTAGCTAGTGTCGAATACCTATGTTCTGATTTATGTTGATGTTCTTATCTCCAACAAACAGTCCATTTTTTCCAGTCAGATCCACACGCCGTCATTCTCAATGAATTGGCCTTCCCTAGTTTCCACTGCTCAATCTCCAATTATACTTTGAAGACTCTGATCTCATAAACCTTTGCACAAACACGATTCAAATATATATCAGTCCAAAGTATTTGTAATCTGCGACCACAAATCAGATGAGACCAGATCTGTGACGCATGAAAACAAAGCATACCTGGTTTGATTGATGTTTTGAATGCTAAGTATTTAACACTACCCGCACTGCGCCAATCAGAAGCTGCATTCGTGGGCGAACGCAGTTTTTCAAAATCGTGGGGTTTGCGGGCAAGCATTTCCTTCTTTCCCCTCCCCCTCCGCTGTCATTCATTTTTTTGCTCTTGTCTCAGCTTTCCAGACGAACCCCGCGAGGAAACGCTTGCTACGCAGGCTAAAGTTAAAGTACCCCCTCTGAGTCCCCTCTCCCTTCAATTCCCACAATATACACCATGGCCTTTTGTTGTGGATTGGTGACTGCTAAGCATTGCATTGTGGAACAGAGATGCTGTTTGGATTTATATAGCAAGATAACTTTTACCAAATTTGCTGTTGTTGTTGTTTTTTGCACAGTCAAATCCAATTTCTTGAATCCTCCCAATACAACTGTATTTTCAGCCAGTGCGCTGGTGCTATCTACTGTATGCAAGCAGCTCTCACATTTTGCTGCTCTGGGCCGCTTTTTGCTGGTCTTAGTTTATGATTCGTTGGAGGATGACTTTCCTGGATCCTTAAACTCTAAAATCAAAATTTGAATTCTCATTTGTTGCCCCTATTCATTTCCTACAGAAGTACTGCGGAGAAGTTGATAAATATCAAACAATTCATCTTGTGTGATCATGTCCGTAATTCTCATGACCACTCTGTTTTACAAAGCATTGATATTACAAGGAGAAATCTGATGCTGATAACTCTTAGAAAATCTACTTGTCCCAGACTACCAGAGGGGACCTTTCTTGAGCCCTGGGGAAAGATGAATATGAAATAATATGAAAATATGAAAATTCATATTTCTCTATTTCATCTATGAAATTCATTTATTCATCATTTCAAAGTGACTATATAAGACAGTCAATAAATGAATCTGTCATGTGGATGAACTATAAAACAAAATGTATTTTGTTATATTATTTCTTTTGTCTTAATGCAGTTTTAGCCAGATGATGGAGCTACGCAAAGTAACAGATCTTGTTCCGGCTGCACAGACCAAACAACAGCTGCATCAAAAATTGTTGTCCCATTCTGAAGCGAAACTTGAATCCATCGACATTTCCTTGTTCTGCCCCCTCACTCATTCACGAATCGTAACCCCAGTGAGGGGAAAGAAATGCAGACATGTTCACTGTTTTGATGGCGAGGCCTTTTGCAATTTGATGTGGGAGAAAGACCTTGCAAAGTGGAAGTGCCCAGTAAGTAGTACCTACCAAAACAATCCTCACGGGATTCAAGTAGTACCCACCAAAACATTAGGGAATTTAAGATAGGTTTAAGGTGACGGCCACGAAAATGGCACTTAAAAAGTGAATTTGTGTTGTTTCAATCTCATTGCCATTTCTCCAACTCATTAACTTTGTCAAATGCAAAGCAAACTCTTTTTTAGCCAAATTCCTAAGAACCATATTCAAGTTCAGAAAGAGAAAGAAAATTTAGCCGTTGCTTGTTTAGGTCCTCCATAAGACATGAAATTAGGCATTTTTCCGTCGTAGTCGGGCAGTGATGGCAAAGAAATGTACAAAAAAGTGTGTTACACGTGCAGAGTTGTTGTTTTGCTTATTCAACCATTTTGCTTTTTTGATGTTCTCCTTGTCGTCAGCGTCATGGCTTCTTAAAGTCCCTATAAATGGACTATTGATACAGACGAAAGCTACAAGACTAAAATCTCAGACTTTGAGACTAGAATTTGTTTCTTCATAAATCGATAGATTTTAAGGTAATTGAATAGCTGTAATTGTGGGGAAGTAGACTGTGACGAGTCATTATTTTTACCTTAGGTGTCAGTTGCAGTTCAATAGGTCAGATATTGCTATCCACCAGGCCCCAGTTCTTCAAAAGCTGGATAGCACTATCCACCGGATAAATCTTTATCCAATGGATAGTGCAATTGGCTTCCCTAATACTTATCCACTGGATGGAGATTTATCTGATGGATAGCGCTATCCAGCTTTTGAACAACTGGGGCCAGGTCCTGGTTGTTCAACAGTGGGTAACGCTATCCACCAAATAAATCACTATTGGGCGGATAAGTATTAGGGAAGCCAATTGTATTATCCACTCAATTAGAGATTTATCCAGTGAATAGTGTCATCCACCTTTTGAACAACTGGGAACAGACCCACCCAAGTGTGAAAGTTCAAGCAATTTCACAGTAACTTGTTTGGGTAGAACTGTTATTCTGTCAAGGGAGACTCTCTTTAGTTAGAAAACTGGACTGAGAGTTTCTGTTTGATTTTTGTTTTGGTTTGATTTTTTTTTCACATTACAAAAAATATAAAATGATTTCATTTGATTTAAGTTTTTATTGTAGATATTCCTTTTTCCGGTAGGGGAATGTGAGCTTTACTTATTGTTCAAATTCTTACTTATTAAGTGTTGCTGTGATCACTTATATTTGGACAAGAAAGCTTAGAAAATTACTTGTCCAGTAAGAAACTCCTTCTAATGACTGGATGGGGCTTTTTTAGCTCTGAAACAAATCTTTGGGTTTTCTATATTACACCAAGTTTAAAACGAAGCATTTTATAAATTTGCAGATTTGTAAAGGTCCAACACCACTGTCTGAGTTGATTGTGGATGGATTAATTGTCGAAATCCTAGCATCAGTTCCAGAGGACGTGAAAAGTGTGGAGTTCACATCTGATGGATACTGGAGATTGAAGCAAGGAGCTTCACTACCCTCTGCAAACACATCTTCAATCAGCTTGAACTATAACCAAGGAAATAATGAGGTCATTGACCTTACCTTTGACACCCCAGGGAAAGTAATTGTCAAGAAAAATACTTTAGTCAGCAATACCACTCCCCCTGTTATCGACCTGACTTTGTCTCCTTGAGACATAGTCAGATCAGTAAATACAAGTCAAATAGTTGCTAGTGCGTTGTAAGTGACTGGTACGAGCATGGAAAATGAGCCACTGTCATTAGTTGGGTAATGCAGGAGTTTCAGCAAAACACCTAGCCTGTGAACAGGCCTTCTAGCCTTGTATGGATAAAACCTGGATAGTGCTATCCAGTGTGTAAGCGTTTAATAGGGAAACCTGTTGTGTTGTCCACTGGATAGTGGTTTATCAAGTGGATAGTACTATCTGCTTTGTAAACAACTGGAGCCTTATTGGAATAAGAAGGAAAAGTAATTTGAAGGGGTGTAATCACTTTTTGCACTATCCCTCAGTGGTAGGAGTACCTATTCACAGGCTAAAAGCACCATAAGAATGCCTACTACACGGACTAAAGAGAGAAGGGAAGTGCTTACTAAGGCAATTGACCTATGTTACGGGTAACCGAGGAGGAGGCATGGTCAGGAATTAGCAATAAAAAGCAACTATCCCGTGAAGGGGAGGTGAATAGTAGTGGATTATTATACCAAGATGCGAAGCATTGAGGTATATATCTAGTGCTATGAACCGTCTCTGAGAGGGCTAGTTGTTTTAGTATTTACCAAATCAGTTGGATAAAAATCGAAAAGGAAGTTTTTGTAAACAAAAGACGTCACTTTGTTAGAGTTTGTTTATGTTTCAGTTGACATTGTTTTGGGATTTTTTTACAATTTTTTGCAAATTCAGTGAGAAAGTTTTTTTCTACCAACCAGTAAACACCAACAAGCCAAATTTTGTCTCTTTATTGGTATTTGTTGGCATAGCTGCTTTATTTACCGCTAAAATTTCATCTTTCAAAACTGTCATGAAACGAGAGGCCATTTTGAATCCCATCCTAAACAGTGAATATCCAAGGATATTCCGAGTTACAGAAGCCAATCAGAACGCGCAAAAATTGCTATTCACTGATTTGGTGACTACTAAGATGTAATACAATCCCGTTTTCTATTCATCCTTTTTCTTCTCGTGTAGTCTCGACTTCTACAACTGTTCACCTATTGCTGGAATCTAAGGGAGGGTTACTTGTAAGCCCTCTGCAGCTTAGGGTCATGTGACTTATCTTATGCCTTAATTATGGGATACAAC